AATCTGCGTATATATCAGATGTTCGTTCGTTTTCTTTGACGTCGCGGGTTTTTGGGTCGACCCAAAAAAAATTAGAAGGGTTTGTATGGAGTTCTCTGAGTTTAACCGGCTAACATATCAGAGACAATTTGCCCCGAAATGCTCGTTTTTGGTAAGTAGGCCTCTTGGACATTGTTCTTTCAGAATATCCTGACAAATCCCATAATTTCAGAAATTTCATTTTTATGACGTCACACTTTAGTACTCTATTTCGCGACACACAAGTCTGCGTACCTGGCCACTGATCATTCCGGGCTGGGGGTGGGGGGAGGGGGGGAGTGGTGGCGTCGAGAAATGCTGGGCTGTTTTCTCAGGCTACGTGCTGTGTAGCTTGCGAATATACAACCGTTTCTAGCCCGTGCCAGGCTCTCAGATAGTCAGGACGTCTCAGAAACAATGTCCAGGGAAAATTGAACGCGTGATGTGATCCGGAAAAGTGGGCGTCGGCAGGACAAGAAGTGCAAGCCACGGATCGAGTGATCATCAGATTGCTTGTCCAAAAAATCACTTTATTTCATTGTCCTCTCTTAGTTTCACTTCCTATCAAGAAATACCTTACAGCCATTTTAAGAGAAGACTAAACTTTATAAAATTCTGAAAATTGGTTTCGAGCGTTATGCGGCAAATTCGGCTTAGGAAACTTTGCACTCGCTCGCTCTATTAACGAAAAAATCTATTTAAAAGTTTAGCAAACAGTGAGAGTAGATGCATCAAAAGTGTTATAAACCCGTTTGAAGGCACCCGCTTCTGGAGTTGAATTTGATTTAATTCATTACTTAATAAAACTGAAATTACAGTCTGGTGGAACATACAGTAAAACTCCGAAAATAAGCCCCTCAAACCGGTAACGCAAAAACCCTCCGTTAAATCGCCTTTCCAAATATAAGCCCCCCCGGGGGCTTGTACTTGGAAAATTACCCTCAGATACAAAGTATAACAAAGCAAAAACGGTAAATTTACTTCCAACTATATGGCAAGCTCAATCGATTTTGAAACGCAAATTTCCCTCCGTAGATAAGCCCCTCCGAATATAAGCCCCTCCAAAAATAAGTCCCTCAATAAGGGCCTTTGAAAAATATAAGCCCCGGGGCTTATTTTCGGAATTTTGTAGGACAGCTTTTCGTGATGCCACAAAAAGCCATATGGTATAGCATGAACAGCAACGGCCCGGTGCAGCCCCAAAGTCCGGGTGCACACACATCAAACATCGCGCCGGCACGGTTGACCGAGAGGGTTTGGTGCACTAAATTCGCCTCAGTGGGTTCCAATCCTCGCTTTTACTTGTTTACTTCCGCGACGGGCCAAATAGGTGTTCACACTGCACCAAAGTATGGCACAAAACCTATCCGATATGTGATTCTCCACTTTCGAGATCGACGCGGCGCAGCTTCCCTCCGTCGCAGAAATCGCGCCGCCACAACCGTTCTTGTGTGTGAACAGACGCCTTAAGCGGTATGATTTTCGGATCAATTTAGGTCTCTGGGAAACTAGCCACCTACCCCTCCCCTAAGCCGTTATTTTGCCCTAAGCGAAAAGTAAGTGTCAATGTTAGCTTAGGGGCGAGGGAGGGGGGGGGGTGGTGGGCAGTTTCCCAGAAACCTAAATGGACCCTGATTTTCTTGGCGAGGCAAAAGCTATCCGGTCTAGTGCGAACTTAGCCTTAGTGGCACCTTCACCTATCCCGTTGTCATGGTGACCGTTTGGGCGCCACGGACCTAGAACCCTTTCCCTCCATTTGATTTTGTTTTCAGCTTCTCTTAGGGCGACGCAAAACTTCAACCCTGTCCATTCAGAGATATTATTCTCCCAACGAACACACAACCACTAAGTGAACAAATTACCCATGCTCGTGTCGCGGACGCCGCGCTTTAAATATGAAGCACAGGACTTTAAAGACTCGTTGTGTCAATTTTCCTGAAACGTATTACTGATGGCAATCTTGTTTCCTTTCTAACCTGCATAAAAACAGGCGCTTTATGAGCCAAGCGAGGTGAACGCGGCATTTTGAGACTAGCGTGAAGGGAAATACAAAATGAGGGGAAAAAATAAAGCTTTTAATATTTTTTTTCTCCTCCCCTCGTCTTGCGCTTCGTGCAAAATGCCACGTTCCCCTCGCTTGGCTCATAAACCGCCTGTTTCCATTCCCTGGTGATCATCCAATTCTATTTAAACTGGGCGTGGAACTACAAGAAAAAATGAAAAGTACATATCAGATAAAATAAATTAAATTAGGATTGTTTTATTGCAATTAAATAAGGGAATAAACACAATGGCAACATAATTTAATGAAGTAAATCTAAACGGCTGATAAACGGGATAATAAACGGGAAATCGTCTAAACCAATAGTTAGAAAATGTTTGTGGCCCTGCCCAAAGTTCTTTCGCCATATTTGACAATTGCGTGAAATAGAAGCTATACCACGAAAATAATTAATAATCACAATTTAATGCAAGGTATCTTACCGACCGTACCGTGAAAGCAAATCTATAAGTGCGTTTGTGGAGGATCTAGAGGCGGAATTTTGATAGAAAAGTACTGGCATGCTTACCTTGAGTAAAACAGAAGTTTTGGAGCTGCTTGCTCTTTTTCCTGCGCTCTTTTTCTATAACGAACCGAAAGATCAGGTTATTCACAATCGAATCAGTTTTGCCGTTAAGAAAGGCCTTAAATGAGAGGTGAAAGTGAAACGTGGGAAAATGGGATCTATATTCACCCTTATGATCGTTTTCACATGACGTCACGGCGTCCACATTGGGTACAAAACAATGAAATGGCCACCATGTTGGTGTTCCAGAAAACTTCTGTGGGGATTGAATTCTTTTCTCATGTAAAAACTTTCTTTTATTCCAGGAAATTTGTTTAGCTGCTAACCACGTGAGTGAAAACGATCTATGAAATAAAGAGTACTATACTCTATCAGTTTTTACTAGGTCAAATGTAAACGTCCCCAGTGGTTTTATTTATGAACCAGTCTTCAACAATACCTCACCTTTTCCAATAAAGCAATCCTGCTACCAAAAAGGCAAGAATAAGAGACAATGCCACCACTGGAACGATGATGGCCAGCAAATCCTTACCTGTTAGAGACAAATTTACACCTAGATCAACCAGACAGTTCTTCAGTAAGGGAGCTTTTCCTACGGGCGTCAACAAAGTTGACGCAACAAATTTCGTTCTTTCAAACCAACCTTAATTGTTCCCAGGGTCCTCTCTCGTTTTGGGGGCCGAGTAGGGAAGTAGAAACGAGGTTGCTTTCAAACTTGGTAATGAAGGTGAAGCCAAAGAGCACCCTCTGAATAGGCCTTGGCCTTCACTTTCTTTTTTAAGAAGCTTAAAATTTCATCTTGTGCAAAGAAGTTAGAAAAAGTCGTGGTTTACGTTGATAGGTGTTGTTCTGCTCACTACCGAAGTGAAGTGGTGCTGTCGCTGAAAATGTTGGTCTAATCTCCCCATCAGGCTGTTTCTTGGTGTTGAGGAAACTATTGTTGGTATTGCACCCGTCTGCATTACAACCTTACTAGCTGAACGGCACTAACTAAGCTGACGGCTTTACACTACCAGTCGAGTCTAATAAGGCCTCTTTCGGTATCTCTCAAGAAGGAAAGACGTTTCGCTGCATATGACAGTGTGTGTGTTCGTATGTCTTGTACTACTAAGATGCATACAGTGGACTTATTATACTGTATCTAATAATTTTACAGCATATGAATTCCGTGATGAAGGTTAAGTATGATGGGAGATACTTATGATGGTTTGGATATGATAAGCTCCGGCCTCTGCTTATAAGGAATATGAGAATGAAATAAAGAACGATTTGTGTTCGATACCTTCCTCCTTAGAATTTTTAGTGTAATTTGTCTGCCCGCCTGAATTTGAAGAGGACTCCACTATTACTGTTGTCGTTCCTGAAGGTTTTGGAGTTACTTTTCGAGATGGCGTCACTTCCGGCACACGCGTAGTCTTAGGTGCAGCAGTTGGAGCTAGTGAGAAAAAAAGAGGCATGATTTGTAAAAGAAGCATGTCGCCCAAAGTAAGGGAATGCAGGACAGTCTTTGATTGTGGTTTTCTAGGTACTGGATTCCATTCTTTGTCGGTGGAACTTGATTCTGGATTCCAGTCGTTGATGGGTTTCCGGATTGCTTGGGCTGTTTTCCGATTCCGAAGCCCGGGATTCCGGATTCCACAAGCAAAAAATTTCCCGGATTCCATAGTCTGGATCCCTTATATGGGGCGAACTATTCCCGGATAGCTTAGACCGCTAGGTTTTAACGCGGTCACTCCGGGATCAGCTAGCTCCAGCAACGCCCGGCTCTGAGTTGTTTTGTAACTCCCCAGTTCAACCTGATCACGGCTTCACTTGTAAATAGCTCTAGTTTCTCTCGGACACTTGAAGTTTTTAATCTGTTATGTTTCAATTGACATACCTAATTCGTTTCATAATCGTTCAAAAGCCCCTTAACCCTCTAAGTCTTAAGAGTGACCAGCATCAATTTTCTCCTAACGATATCAATACATAGTCAAGAGAAAAGTTGATGAGAATGAATAAAGTGATCACTAAAGGGAAAATACTTTAATCGTTTGACAAATTCTTTCAACCAATTCTGTAAGGAAATATATGGAGGTCAATCTGGAGAATTTGTATTGGGATATTGGTGATAAAGGGTTAATAAGCGGAGAAGATAATTAACTGCCTATTTATTCCCGTTTTTTGTCCTCTGTCTATACAATAACGTTATGCCACGTGACCTGCCGAGAAATTTTATGTTTCCTTTCAGAGAGAAGGAAATTTTCATTATTAATCTCTTGTGGAGTACATGTGGTATTATTGATCAATTTGCACGTAGTGCCCCTTAAATTTGAATGTTTCTTCTTCTACGCACCCAGTTAACTTATAGGCCTGTATTCTTGGTCCGTATTGTGAGCTACGGATCACTGGAAAGAAAGCTTGGTCCATAACGTTCAGTAAGAACGCTCGAAGTTGTTTAATAAGAGGTACATGATCATTACCTGAATAATTAACAGCACTGTAAGAGGCACTGAAGCCGGTGTAGGAGCCATTATTGTCTGACTTGAATATTATGAACATGTGGTTTGAAGAAGAGTTTATTCCCTCTTTTGGGGGAGAGTAACTTCCATAAAATACTCCCAGCACCTTCCCTGTGGAATTTTCTCCATCAAACACATATAAAGCGTCCGTGTTATTTTCGTTTTGCAGATTGAAGGCTGTGAAAGTTAAGTGGATTTGTTGGGCTGGGCTGACTGTGATCCTCCAGGAGCAGTATTGTCCATCCGGGTATTTGTTTGGATAGTTTGGTGAGTGAAAAGTGCCGTTCAATCCAGTTAGAGTTTTGTTACAACCTGCAAGATAAATGTATGCTTAACATGCACAGGCTACCCACGCACATTCGTCAAGTACAAAATATTATATCTTAAGATAAATATCATCGGTATTGACGGTTTTCCAATCACACAATGTTGTCACTGTTTCTAAGAAGCTGGGGTCGTAGTCCCCGGTGATCTATCTAAATTTTACACTCGTAGCTAGTAAGGGGCATTCATAACTCGTTCCTTCATTGACTGTAAACTGCTCCACAAACAGTTTGGCAAACGTGCCCCAACCATATATTGTTGTAAATTCCCTGAAAAGCCGCGAAGGTAATCGGTAATGAGACATTTACGATTTGAGGTTTATTAGTAGTAGAAACGAAATTTGCACCAGGGGGTGCTCCCATTAATTTCGGACAGGTGTGTACCGCCCAGGGTCTTAAACCCTGACCCTTATTTAAGCATGAGATGAACGAAAACTGATACTCTATTTGAGGCCCAAACCTGGAAAATAAGACCCAATTCAAGGGAAAAACAGAAACTAAGTATTTAATGGAAACATGCAAATCTTCCATGAATCGCTTTCCTAATACTCTAAGATAAAGTTTAGTTTTCACAGATGATTTATTCGTCGTGCACAAAGGCATTTAATCCCTTTTAGCTGATATAATAACGGTACCCTATCTAATGATCATGCCAAGAACACAGCGCCAACAAGGGCAAAAATGAAACCTTATCTTAGGATGGAGACCCTCAAAAACCATACACTATCGGGCGGCCATACTTATCTACCCCATATATGGGAGTAACCCCACCCCCCCCCTCACCTCCCCACCCCCTCACCTCCCCACCCGAAAGATTTACTTACCATGATAATAACAGTAATATATAGTTGGATGATTTACACCAGCGTCATAGGGAAATGCTCCGCTGCGGTTATCTGCGTTTCTATGGTCCTCTGTATCGTAATATATCCACTCAGGCCTCACTGTAGCCCACTTTACCATCTGACACTTTGGCGACTCATACGCAAGAAGGAAAAATGGTTTTTCAGAGGTTAGAACGATAGCATCATTTTTGTTTCCGTCTGTTCTACAACAAAACTCAATTCTTGTGTTGGAGTTGTATACGCCATCTGGAAGCGTCCCATTTTTATCATTGAAATTCTTTTTATTTACGCCATCTGGATCAGAATCATCCCAGGAGACAAAGCCCGTTTTCATTTTAAAAGGACACTGGTTCTTTCTGTAAATGCAGTATTTTCCTGTTGAAAGAATACGGCGGTAATTTAGTAACTACACTGCTATATAATAGTTTCTCTTGCACTCCGAGAGATTGGGGCTAAGGGAGCATAAATTAAATCACTTAAAGGGTTTTAACTTATTTGTCCATCAATTCCCAGATGTAGAAATCCAAAACGAGTCTGGAGTGTCCCAGCACGTTAACGTAACCAGATTCACAAAGAGATTCATGCATCTCGGTATCTAATTCGATATTACATAACGATCTTAGAGTTTCTTCATAATAAGAACGAAAGAGGACTAACAGTCTTGTGCACTGCTATAAGGAAACAACTCCTGATCTGAACACTCCACTGTGTCTATCTTCTGCTAACGGGAACCTATCTTCAACTGCCACATGTCTGTAACACCAGCGCCAAATAAACGCAAAGTCAAATGAAAACGACTTCCGGTGCTCGATTTACCGCTATGCTGCTATTGGTCAATTCGGTACTTAATCAACGGCTGACCTACGCGCACAGTGATCATGATATTAAATTTTAGAAAAAGTGAAGAAGTATCTGAAACCCAGAACTGTCCCTCCATGATGGATACCGCTGACCTATCTCCATGGGTGAGCGCTTAAGTCAAGATAGGTTCAATTGTACTTATATCAGAAATAATGGATTACAAACAAAACTAATAACATGCCTTCCTTTGATAATTACTAACCTGGAGGCCAGGAGGGTCTGTTCCTATCATTTGTTGTATCGTTTTTTATGCAGAATGACCTTTGAACCTTCGTGTTGTCTACTTTCCCATCTAGGTGATATTCTGGCGACCTGGAGTTCTTTGAATTTACTCCATTTGTGTCTTGGGATCTCCATCCTTCCTTCCATTGGAAACCGTCATCCTCGGGACACCCGGATGTAGGTTTGGGTATCCCGTATGTACCAGATGGCCAACGAAATGCTCCTAGAAAATAAAATATCAAGTTCGATCATGTAATTTTGTGGCCCTGTACATGTTGCTTGTACTTGTGCGCATTGGAACAAGTAGCTGTGCGACTCTTCCCTTACTTAAACACGTCTTCCTAACTATTCAAGGCATACAAGGCGAACCGAAGCAACGGCCAATCAAATTCACGTCCATTTGATTGGAGAATTAGCCCGTTGTGTGTCAGTATTATCTGACAATACGGCTGAGTTGACCGTTGGAGTCTCGACCCTCATAGGCATATCGCACAAGACATTACCCCATGAGGAGAGCGCTCTTGAAATTCAAGTTTGCTTTTCAATTAAGTACTGGAAAAATACGAGAGGGTATTCGATAAACATAAATTACTAATAAATACTATAAATGCAGGTTATGCATTATGAATGTTTAGCTACTTCCGGCATTAATTACCAAGCTCGAATAGTTTTAATTTAAAGCATTGATCACGCAACCTCAGAACATGATATTGTACCGTTTTGAACAGGAAGTCCGAGTATACTGAGCAGAATAATTAAGAAAGAATTTATTAGCGAAACGGAATCCAGCAACAAGAATATCTAACATCCAAACCTTTATACTTAACCTTGAAAAACCGGAAGGATAGAAATCGGCCAACGACAAAGTTTTGAATGGCTTTTCATCGTGAAACGTCTCAGTCGTCATAACTAAAACACCCTAAAACAATAATCCTCGTGGAATTTTGCTTTTGGATGCTTATCGATGTCCTACTATGGATAAAAACTCAAAAGAGAAAAAAATCTCAACTAGCTGCGTAAAAGAGAAAAACTTGTTCGGGGAAATAGTCTGACCAAACCCATTCAGTGGACAAATGTGTAAACCGCATACAAGGGTGAAATATTTGCCATGTCCAGTTGCAATGCTAGTTTCACCGGTCACAGCAATAACCCTACAAAGGATTTCAATTATTACAAATACCCACCTGACGGTCTCAGGTTAGACCAAACGCTCAACAATCCTAGGATAGCGAACAAGAACATTACAATACTGGTGTACGTTTCGAATGAAAGGAAGGCACAATAAGTTAGACATCACACTGATAATTTAGACCTTTCAATCCCTTTAAGAACGTGACCCTGGTGCGTTACCAAAGTAAAAAAAAAACTCACACAATTAACAAATTACCCATAAGATAAACATAAGTGGGGCGTTAACATTTTTTCTTTCTTTCGTAATCGAACCTTTTTGGGCAAAAAGGTCAATGGTCTCCAACCTCCAATTTAGCGAAACGTTTCCGCAAAGGGGTATGGATTTTCGACGGGTTCCTATGAAGTTTTTATTCCATAAAAAACGTTGCGAGGCAGGGTGGGCTATGAGCCTGCTTGAGGGCTTTATTTTAATACCCAGGCCGGTCGACGAATATTTCGGTCCACATGGAATGGTTTATATGGGTCTCTCAGTGGCGGTTCCAGGGGAGGGGCCCTGAGGGCCCGGGCCCCCACCTTATTTTTAGACCATACTGAGGCCCGAAGGGCCGAAGAAGATTTTTTGGACACTGTCCCCGCCGCCCCCTTATCTCAGGGTCTGGATCCGCCACTGTCTTTTCAGTTGACCTCGAGATCGGTCAGTTAGTCGCTGCATGGAGAACAGCTATTTCTGCCACTTCAAGTGTGCATATATAAAATATACTGACGAATGATGACGGTCGAGGAAAAGATGAAAACCTCCAGCTGAAAGCACGATGAATCATCTCTTTATCCCGGGGGGCTCTCATGAAAAAAGGTGCGGGGATGGCCGTCGGGATATTATTTCAAAGGAAACCAATCTAGGTGTGGTGCAAACTTTATTAATGTTTATTTGTTGAGCTTGAAAGTAAAAGAAGAGTCATTTGAACGTGCTTGCGGTCAGAAAATAGGATTTTATTTATGGTGTTTTTGTCGTTTAATATCATGATAATGCGGCCATTGACTTATAGTTATACTTGGTTAAATAAGTTATAGCAATGCGAAGAGTAAGCCTAAACTTGTATAATCTGCATTGCCGGAAAATGACTACTATTTTGAGAGAAATTTCGTCTCATGTCTTTTTTTGTTGTACAAATCAGTGTCAATGGAAAACACTTCACTTTTATTGCAATGTTCTACAAAAACATTAATAGTTTATTGTTTATTAGAGCCACAATCATCGTCAAAAGTGTTGGGAAGGTTGCTTTTTTTACCTCTTTTTTTTTCTTCCTCCCCCCGCCCCTGGCCCAATGTTGAGCAAAACCTTAATGGTTGCGCGTAATTGTTCTGTTATATCCCAACATTGAACGGGGGGTATGGGGGGTATTTAGCAAAGGAGAAAACTCTCTTTTGTGAGGATTAAAATGGACTGCTGTTAAGTTGTACAACCTTCCCAACTACTACTTTTGTCTGTGATTGTACCTTAGGCAATAGGTTTACTCTTACTGGATACGGTTAGCTTAGGACTGATGAACTAATTGCATATTAAGTGTCAACATCTTGTTTTCAAACGTTGTCCTATTTTATTCTTGCTCTTTCACGGCCCATGTAAGGAAATCCAAGACAGTCTTGGATTCTGGATTCCACGCCGTGGATTCCGGATCGGATTTCAGGTGCTGGATTCCAGTCTATGTCAGTGGAAGTTGGACTCTGGATTCAAATCGTTAGTGGGATTCCGGATTCCTTGAGCTGTATTCTGGATTTAAAGCCCAGGATTCCGGATTCCACAGCTACATTTTCCAGATTCCGGATTCCAAAGGAAAACATTTTCCGTACTCCGGAATCCAGATTCCCTTACTTGGGGCGATCCCTCACATAGTGACTGTTTTCAGACAACGTTGATAAACGACCAGCTACAGAATGACGCGATTTTGATGAGGAAATAAGGCATTAAAACGTGTTTGTCAGGTATAGATGGGATTAAATTCCACTTCACTCGTAGCAGACTCGTACAACGGATTTTCACTTTCCTCCTTATTGTGTGTCTCCTTGTTTATCCTTTCGTCTTCTTCAACCTCAGTGTAGAGCTCGTTTTCTGCAAGTTTTTCTTGACAGTGTCGATTTTTATTATCCTTGTGTTCTGCCATAACATTGCTGTACACTTCGCTTTCGCAAGGCCTTGGGCTTTCACGTTCAGGTTGTTTGCATGTTTCCTCGTCAATCCTACGGTCTTCTTCAACATTGGTGTACAGTTCGTTTTCGGCAATTTTCCGAAGTTCGCATGTCTTTTTATCACTCAGGTGGTCCTTTGCAACATTGCTGTACACCTCACTTTCGCTAGAAAATGGTTTTTCACTTTCATGCCGTTTGCATGTACCTTTGTCAATCCTTCTATCCTCTCTAACATTAGTGTACAACCCGTTGTCATCAGAAGAGCAAGCTGTATTTACTATCACCATATCACTGCAAAATACCAAAGAGATGTTTTAACTCTAATATAATCTGCAGAAACAATGACAAATGTTTTATTTTCTTTATATTTGTACCTGTTATAATATGGATTTTCAACAGACCTGGGTCCTTCGCTATTGGACCTGTAAAACAGAATCATTTCAAACAGTCATGAGATTGATCCATTTGCAATTTAAATACACAATCAGCTGCCTGTACATTCAGTTCAGGTCAAGCATACCCCGTAACTATTCATTTTTATTTTAAAATGAATTCATTGTTTACACGTTCATACGTTACGAGCGGTGTATTCACATGGGAGGTAGATGAAATTTCAGTCTTGTCAGCTTAATTTTCTTCCTGAATGCGGTGAATCTACATAAGAATTTTATCTATTCAAAGTGTGAATGATTTTTCAATGTGTCCCAATACGGTGAAGTTGCAATCACTCCTCATTATGCTCGCTTGCAGTAATGAAGATATGAGTTTGGTAGAAGTCAACGGCTAACGGGTTAACTTTTTATATGATCAATTTATGAAAGGGTTCTACATGGTATGCCTTACCTGTCGTGACTGTAACAGCCGCGAATTCAAAATGTTAACTGAAAATTGCCAGAATCAGATTGAGTCTTAAGGTGTATACAAGGCCATGAACAATACACAGACGTCCTACCTTAACAATGAAGTTTCTGTAAGCTTATTAATAAATAAATACTCACTTTTACAAAATATTAGAATAGCAAAAATGTACAAAAATGCATAAGGTCATTTATTTAAGTAAAATAATTTCTTCCTAAGTACTAGTAAGTAGTAACACACAGCAGCAGAGGATAGCTTCGTACAGCAGAGGATATCTTCGTACAATACCTTGAAAAAACAACTTCCTTCGGTGTTCCTTTTCCTTGCCTTTTCGTCCTCCTCCTAGAGGAATTAAAGCCAAATATAGTACTTCCTGCTAAGAAGTTATCTTAAATTAATCATTCACTGTTTGTGAGGGTTGCTTGGCTGGTAGTTTGGTTTTTTCATTGATTGCTTGCATCGATTAGTGGGTTGATTGATTGACCTTCTGAATATTGGTTGCATGGTTGGTTGGTTGGTTGGTTTGGTTGCTATCCGGACGTGTCATTAGCTGCTTGCACTGGGTGGCTGATTGATTAGTTGATCAGCTGATTGACTGACTGATTGTTTGTTTGCTTGGTTCATTGATTAATTGGTTGCATTGTGGGTTAATAGATTGACCGACTGACTGACTGGTTAATAGATGGATTGATTCATGGATTAATTGAATGATCGATTGATTTGATTGATTGATTGATTGATTGATTGATTGACTGATTGATTGATTGATTGATTGATTGATTGATTGATTGAGTAATTGGACGAGTGTGAGTGAGTAAGTGAGTGAGTGAGTGAGTGGGTGAGTGCGGAGTGAGTGAGTGAGGAAGGGAGGGAGGAGGGAGGGGTATATCATAAAACTGAATGATGATCCGGCCCCATTTAAGGGCAAAATGCGCGAGATGTAGTCGGTTAGTTGAGTGTACGCATATCTTACCTTTTGCAGAAAAAGAATCCGACTACAAGCGAAACTGCTAGGAAGAGCAATGCCACCAACGGAACTACAACAGCTACTACCTTCAAACCTGCTAGATATAAAGTTGATCATTATTAAGTGGGTACGTTTCTGCTACATCCACTGGTTATATTGATAGTTTAGTTCAGTGTGAGATGCAGTAAATTCTGCATTAAGCGGACACCAACGTAACACTCTCATGTACAGCTCACTATTTTCCTTGCTGCCAAAAAAGTCTCTAGGTAATAATTACAAGGTTTTTTTTGAAAGAAACTTTATCATAACTTTTTAAAAAACACTAGAATAAAAAGCCGCTTCTCAGAGGACGTACATTTTTTTGTCCTGCAAAAAAGGTTCTTGTATTTTGAGGTAGTTAATGGCAATTGAGGCTAAGTAGTGCAGTTGAACCTCCACTAACGGTCACCTCTCTACAACGGCCACCTTTTTCGTCCCGGCAGACAAAAAAATCCATACATTGACTCTTGTTTAAAACCTCTCTACAACGGCCGCCTCCTTACAACGGCCCCTTTTTTCTGTCCCCAAGATGGCCGTTGTAGAGAGGTTCAACTGTAATTAGTTTCTTAATTGAAGCCCGGAAATATAAGTGACTCCAAGAGAAAAGGAAAGATAGTTGGATTTGGTCCTTTTCAAGTTGTTATTCACAAGTGTGTTATGACAAGCTTAACTTAAGGTTGAATGTATATTTAAGATTATCTCTACAACAAGAGATGAATAAATAAAAAGCAATAAACAGAGTATTGTCTTAAAATGGCAATCTCAAAGTCAAACTTCTTGCTTAAAATGTTTATCAAAATTTAACTGCACTAAGGTAACTTACAGAGAATAACCTGCTTGATCCTGCTTGGCTAAACAGCTTATATATGTTTGGTCACTCTACATTTTTGCCAGTGAGATTCTGAAACCACTAAGCTCTTACACGCAGGTCTTTACTGTGTGTTAAACAACTAAAAATTCGAGTATGTTACCTTTTCCTTGAGACGCTTGCCTTCGCTCTTTGGTCCCGATTTCTCTTGTCGATCCAACCGTTGTTGCTGTCAATCTCATGTCAGATGTGGTCCTTGATGGTGAAGGTAACAAGTTTATGGCAGTTGTTGATGGGACGTCTTGGGTAGGTTTTGCCGTCATAGCAAACGTTGTCACAGCTAGAAAGACAAAACTTTCTTTTTTCATCCAGAAAAAAGTACAATTTTTTTAAAAAGACAGAACAAGTAGCCCACAAATATTACCTCAGACTGCAAAAGTTTTGTGCTTCCATTACAGTGAAATTGATATTAGCTTCGATATCCAGCATTTTTTAAGGTTCATCCACAATTGGCAATGACTTAATCATGACAGTGCCATGATATGACAGATATGAACGATGAAAATGAAGATGTGATCGTTTGCACTTCCAGGGCTCTAAGTATTACCTTTTCGAGTATTACCTTTCCCATACTTTATCTTCAGGCAAATAGAGATCATAACAATGGCACCTAATTATATTTCCCGTATTTTACCTGATTTCTGCACGGCATTATACGTGGCATTGAAGCCGGTGTAAAAACTTGAATCAGTATCATCTGATTTGAATATGATAAACATATGGTTTGACGAAGACTTGATTCCATTCATGGGGGGAGGGTGCTCTCCATAAAATGCTCCCAACAACTCCCCTGTGTCATTTTGCGCATCAAACACATATAAAGCATCAGTATTGTTCTCGCTCTGTAATCTGAAGTCTGTGAACATGAGGTGGATTTTTTGTCCTGGACTGACCGTGACCCTCCAGGAGCAGTACTGTCCATCCGGGTAATTGTTTGGATAGTTTGGTGAATGGAAGGTGCCGTTGACTCCACTCATGGTTTTATTACATCCTTAAAGGTAAAAAAGGAATAGCATTCGTAAGGTATAATGCTTTTAAAGCTTTAAAGCATTAAAGGGAAACCCAGTAGAACGAAACACTACGTGTATACAACCTCAACTACAACCTGTCATTTAAAGTGTAAGATACAGGGGCGGATCCAAGATTTTTTTTTAGGAGGGGGTGCACTCGTCTCTTGTTCTACTTCAACATCAATAAACCACAAAGTTTTTTTTTTTTTTTTTTGCAGAATACCAGTTGTATTAGAAAACCGCATGTCATCTCAGAGGGGGGGGGCGCACCCCCCGCACCCTCCCCCTAGATCCGCCCCTGAGATATGGGGTCAATTTAATCAAACTTTAATAAGTGTAATTTACAAATGTACCCATTGTTTTTAGACTCTAACACATTATGGCTGCTCTTGAAAATTAAACTTGTAGCTGAACCTCGTTTTTAGCGGCTGTTGTGAGTTGCAATGAAAAGTGTTTCCTTCGTCAAGTACTGAATTGTTTTTATGACGTTTAACGGACTAAATAAAGTTCGCAAATCAGCTGTATTTTTACACAACACTGCATACGGGATAAGAACCAAAATGCAAAAATGCTATGGTGATGACGTACCACGGTAATAACAGTAGTATATGGTTGGATGTTTTATTCCTACATCGTAGGGGTAAGGCCAGACTCTAGAGTCACTGTTACGATAATCCTCTGTATCGTAATATATCCATTCCAGTGTCGCTATCGCCCATTTCACCATTTGACATTCTTTAGATCCGAAAGCCAACAGAAAAAATGGCAGTTCGGTGGGAAGGAGGATTGGCTCCTTCTTGTTTCCATTTGTTTGGCAACAGAACTCTACCTTTGTATCTTCATTATATTCGCCTGAAGGAAGTATTCCACTTTCGTCATTCAAATTACCAAAGTCGTCATCATCCCAGTAAACGTAACCTTCTCCCAGACCTGATGGGCATTGTGAACCTTTCTTGTAAACACAGTATTTACCTACAGGAGATCAGTCAGATGTAAATAACAGTTTTTGTTCCACTGAAGTCTATGAGTCAAGAAAATAAAACCGATACACAGGAATTTTCAAGGCGTTATAATAACTCCTCTAGTGTGTTAATTTAACTCCTTACAGTGGAGATATTGAGGAGTTACGACAACCCCAAAAAAGGAGTTATCCTGTACCTAAAACCTAAAAGTTTTACTCCACTTTCAGAGTTAAAGTAACTCCAAAAAGAGTAAAAACAGCCCATGTAAAATTAATAGTAGTAAAATTAACCCATTTTCGGAGTTAAAAGAACTGTTTTTTAGGAGTAAAAATGGCCCCAAATTTGGAGTTAAAATAGGAGTTAAAGTGTAACCCCATAAAAGGGGTATCCTGTACCTAAAATTTTTACTCCATAGTTTGACATCTCGCTAAAAATTGCTGTGTACTTGGTTGAAATGAATACGTTAAACCTCAGATTAACTATACTACACTTCTTGAAAAAAGACGCGAAAGAAATAACCTTTACGCAAAATATTTTCTTATAACATAGCGCGCGTGCTTGCCTTATATAAGTCCTATTGTGCCGCTATGAACAAAATCTTTATTTACGCACGCCCGTGCGTAAATAAGATGACGTGAGCATTTTTTTTTACCTGGCTGCAAAGTTGTCGTCTTTTAAGCTGCAGTGCACTTTTCCTTCTCTTTGAAATACGGAAGAAACCAGCGAAGAACTGCCCAATTTTTCTATCGGCATTGACCTTTTAGGTCCTGATCCAACAAGCAGCAAAAATAAAGCCGAATTAAAAAAACTTGCAAGTTGCGCGTTTCGCAGATTTGTCGAAGACCAGCTGCAGCAAATTTTGGCCGAAAGACAGTCACTGGGAACAGAACAGACACCAACTGGTCATCAACAACATTAAAAGGCAAAATTTCTGTTTCTATTGTTTTTAAATTTGTTATGTACTTTGTTATCTCCGGACAATCCGACTGAAGCAGGAAAATTTCTACCGCAATAACAACACAAATTACACAAGAAGACATAAATTTATTACTCACAAAAACAACTGCTGCCAGGTCTTCTCAAGAAGCCGTAATGACCAGCCAATGTTCGTAAATGAATATAAGTTTAAAGAAGGATGACAGTCGTCTTCGCTAAAAACATGTTTTCTGGATTTCGCCGAGCAAAACGTAAACATCTTTTCAGCAAATCCAAACCATACTCCACGACTTCTTACGAACATGTTAGTTTTAATTTTAGGTGAACTTTAAGACTCTTTTACCTTTGTTTCTTCTTAGTTTCCATTGATCGTTAACGAATAAAGAAGCAATTTAACAGAAAGAATACTTTCATTCAAATTAGACGATTGTGGCGTGTTCGTAATCAGCCAATAGAACCGTTTGTTATTGTGTCGCGTGTTACGAGAATTTTGCAGTTAACCAAAAAGCAAGCATTTTTGTGAGCTATGTTGTAAAAGAATTTGCTCATGCTTTTAGCTGTGCGTATATCGAGTTATGGATGCACTTGGGAAGTTTGGAGAGCACTCAAGAAGCTAGAGTTGCACTCGGCTATCGCCTCGTGCAACTCTTACGCATCTTTCGTGCTCTCCAAACTTCCCGTGTGCATCCATAACTCGATATACGCACGCTAAGCATGAACAAATTCTTAAATTTCTGTGTTAGATATTGCGCTGTCTTTTATGAATATTGAGGGTCAGGTGCACAATGTTGCTAACCTGAGGGCCAGAATGGCCTACTGTTTTCGAGCTGGTTGCGCACATTCTTTTTAATGCAGAACGACCTGTTTACTTTTTTGTTGTCTACTTCTCCATTAAGGTGAAAATCGTCTGACTTATTATTTTTTGAATTTCCGTCATTAGTGTCCTGCAATCGCCATCCAGTCTTCCAGCGGAATCCATACGACGAGGGACACCCGGAAGTAGCTTTGGGTAACCCGTATTTCCCTGATGGCCAATGAACGCAACCTAAAATCCCACAAACGTATTAGTGACTGAGAGGGAAATAAAAATGAAAGGAAGTGTTAAGCTTTGTTAGAGGCTGTATAATGTATAAAGGGAACTTAGAGAGCGCTTAAAATATGTTTTAAATGACAGACGAAAATATGGTTTTAGTACCAGATTGGAAGAATTTTCTGAGAAGGTTCCGTACCCAATTATTAACGATGTTCACAAGCCGGGATATACAACCGATGGCAGTGTAAACGTCCTTCGGCAATAAGAAAAAAACTGGAGCCTGAAATGAACAACTTCTGTCGCATTTGTAGAGGACAGTGCAGCATACTGGTCTAGTTTGATCAACCCTCCCCGGTTGATAATAGTCCATTTAATTTTTACAGTTGCAAGTGACAGTGAGGCTGGAGTTGACCTTTTTTTGATACAAACCTTCCTGCTTAATTATGTAAATCATGTTGTTCTTATGCTAACTAGTCCAAGAATAATGGACCTTTTTCAAAAGCACTATAATACTCTTTGATGTCCCTCCAAAAGTTTGCATAAGCATTTTTTAAATTTCTCTTGGGGCGATTGTAAGTCCCGAGAGAAATTGAAAACAATACTTATGCAAAATTTTGGAGGGGAATCAAAGAGTATTATGGTATTTTTGAAAAAGGCCTCTTTCCATAAGAAAAGGAGAGAAGTTTGTATCAAAACATGGTCAACTTTAGCCTCCCGTTCACTCAAAGGCTAAGATACAAAGCCCACAACTGTGAAATGGTCTATTCCAGGACATCTTCATCCCATCCTATTCATCCTAAGTTCAATTATATACTGTACTTCCACCTGGATTTATGAAAACCGGGTCAGCAAACATTTGTCATTTCTCTCAACTTCCCCTGTCTTAGCAAGTTTACTGTGTTTTTTGTTTTATGTTTGAAACTTCACGGAGTCAGATTACTGAAAAATAAATGTTCTAAAATTTGCGTCATTTTCAATTATATTGATTTGGACTCGTTGAAATGCTTCTAGGGACCACTAACTTACTGCCCGGCGTCAGATAAAGGCTTTCAGTCGGCCTTTGAATGATTTTTTATTGTTTTAAACTGCCAAGTAGTGGATTGCTGACCCAGTATCGCAGACGGTATCGCAGTTTGGTAAAAGCGTGGTATTAAAATTATGATTGACGCCGCGTCGTACTTGGATCGGACCATTTCGTAAAAACTCACTTCGAGGCTGGCGTGACTGCAAATTGTACACGCGGAAGTTTATTTCCGCAATCATTTTTGTGAAGTAAATTCTGACTAATTTACACGCAATACCATTTCACAGAGAAAAAAAGTAATCGGTCAGTTAACAACTATATTTTATAAAGTGTCAAATCAACAAGATGGTCTAAATGTCTTTAAATTAAGGCAACTAGAGATCTATTGAACAAATAGTGGATGACGCATACCACCTAGCATCAACATATCGACTGACTGAAAAGTATAATTAATTTAACGCAATCGTAACTTATCCATTGTCAGCGATTTTCGCCCAGAATAAAGTTTGCAATACGTATATCGAAGTTATGTGTAAAAGATCTTCTCTTGCAGTGCACGATAATCACCAAAACCGTCATGAAGCAACGAGATATAAATCTAAAGGCCGGTTCTGGTGAGTGTCTTCCGTGTCTCGATTTAATTTCGTAACAATACATAATAATTAAAGCATCCTGTTTAGCAAAGCTACAGAACCACTTGAGAATTACTATTACAATGAATAAAATGTAACATAAATCTTACATCACTCAGTAGTCTAGAATTCACAGTACACTTACTTGTCGTGGGCAGACAAAAGAACACAGTTATGAGTCTAAAAGTACCCCACCAACACATCGCAGTAGCTTTAGATTGTGTCTGTTGTCTTGGAGGAAATGATTATACTTGATACTTATGCTTCATGACCCATGACGTTCTTCCACTGTTTTGCACCACATGTAGTCACGTATCACTATATCACAACATAACGTCACGTATCGTAACGTCATGATTATATATTTTAGCAAATTTGGTACACCAGTTACGCACAAAGGTTTAAAGCGGAAATGTGATTGAACTAACGGATAAGGTGTTCTGAAGAATATTCCTTGCCTGTTTACTTTCCTCTCCAATCAGCAGCAGGAGGAAGTGTTAAGAAGTTCCGTAAATCAACTCCGTCTTTTCTGGGGTAGAGCCGACACGACCTTATTTGGCCTACCCAGGGCCGGGACGTGTCATTCGTCAGGGTATGGCTTGTTGTGACTTCTTGTTGTGGCCAAAAAAAAAAAAGGAAATAGAAAAAAAAAATACGGCCTGCATTCAGCGAAAATTTATGAACTCTACACTGGCAACGTTGGTAGACCTTTCCCGCAACCCAACACGAGTGTGCTTCGTCGTTCTTAAAGCGATGAGTCGAAACAAGCACGGTAGACACATATGAAGTGAAGGCGTCCCAGTCTGACTGATACACAAAAGCCGATTTGCTCGATGACGTCGTATGACTACTAGTATTGCCAGAATCCTGCAGGGTTTATCTTTCTTATACAAATTGGGGCTTTTGCTATTTGAAGGTCGCTGTGTTTATCAAATGGATGTTGATAGTGGTAGTGAGTAGTAATAAAATGACGCCATCACGCACATGGCCTAATGAAGTCTCAATAGTCCGAAGATAATGACGTATTTCCGGCGGCCTTGGGAGGAGATACTGTACTTCTTTACATGTCGGCGAACCTATTATGCCGGGGGGCCCTCATAGGGATTTAGTGAACTGCGGCTGAGGTGCTGGAAAAAAACTGTAAAATTTCAAAGCTCAAACCTCACCAATAAGCTAAAGGATTATCTGTTAAAAATAAAAAAAAATCTGCGAGAAGAAATGGTTGTACTAAAAGAGAAAATAAATAAAAAAGTAAAACCACGAAGCCAACCTGGAATTAGAGACTGAATAAGCAACGTAAGCTTGAAAATGGTAAATTGTGTCAAAAAATCAATATTCAAATCCTTTTTATTTCGATACCTCTTAACTATTCTCCCTTACTCGTGTGTGTATCTGTAAAATGTCCGTGGAGTTTACAGAGCTATTATCGTGGTAGAAAATAGTGCGAATTCATCTACTTGTCGATTGAAATAATAATAATAATAATAATAATAATATTATTATTATTATTATTATTGTTATTAATAAGAATAATAGAAACTGAGAGTATAAATTGCTAGAGTGTGAAACTTGGAGACCGAAGTAGTTCCTGTGGTGATTGGTGCCCTTGACTCCATTCCTAAGAATTTTCCTCGCCACCTTGAAATCTTTGGATTAAAGTGTCTTGACGTTGTATAAATCAGCACTGCTTGGTACAGCTAATATCCTGCGAAAGGTTCTTTCTTTCTGAGGTCATTGACTTGACAGAGAGAACAATTTATGACAAAAGCTCCAATACCGACGTTTACTGCGAGAATAATAATAATAATAATAACAATAACAATAATAATGATGATGATAATAATAATAATAACGATGAGGATGATGATGGTAATGATAATGTAACTATTTTTCAACAGGATTTATAGCCCACAGGAGTTAGCAATGCTGCTAACTGGGGACGTAAAATTGATGATTTCGCGATCCTAAGTACACTCAGTACACGGCCTTGGGGTAAGAATATCATTTTGTGCGAGGTTGAGGTGGCATTTCGGGATGTGTGCGACTACAGAGGAACAAGAAAAATTTGGGCAAATGCTAGTTTTGGACCGATACCAAAGCCTGATGACCCCAACTTGAGCACTCTTTTAGGGCTATTGTTTGCCATTTGTTGTTACGTTTTTTTCGCTCCCGTTTAGTTCCTAAGTCTATCCCAAGAAAGGAATCTTCAGACGTTATTTAATTTTAGCTAAAAAGGTCACCATACATGTTCAAATATACAAAATCAAAATTCAGCGGTTTAGAGTGACAAAAAGGTAATTGGCGTCTGTGCTTACGTCTAAATACTAATTATAGGCTTATCTGTGACAACAATCGGGCTCTCAGCAGAATATCAAGACAGTTAAAAGGTTGTGAGGTTAATTTGTCCTCCTCCTGCGACTAATATTGATATCAAATGTCTAGCGTATTTTTTGTCGTCTTTTAGGCTTTTGTAGTGTACGACGATTCATGCTCAGCAGAATACTAGCAGATGTCGCCGTGGAAAGCTGTTGTCATCCTGTGTACCTTGGTACACGTATTTTCGTCACGTACGTATTATATTTGTTTCAGTTTCGTGCAAAAGTAGCTAAAAAAACAATGTGCATGTGATGACGTCGGTACCAGGCAATACATGCAGCGATAGTTTAGGTCGCAATTTTTCTTTTATAAAGCTCAAAGGAAAAAGATTTCGCTTATCTGATGTATGAAAGGATGCTCTTCATCAATACATGAGCAAAACGTTTACTCAGGTCTTTATCAGTACAATTGTAGCATCTCAAGGAATATCTTTAACCCGGGGGGGTCCTCCCTTATATAAGCCATAGGGATATGTGCCGCCCCATCCGGTAGGGTTTTTGCGCCGTTTTGGTCTGCGAAAACGGGTATACACTTTGTCCATTTTGGTCTGGAATCGGGTATGGTTTTCGAGGGAACTACGGAGTGTATGAACGTATTTATCGTTTCAATTCCAAATGAGTAAGCAAGAAAGAGAAATATGCAAATTCGAAATGGATTTGAATAATTTTTTGTTTGCGCTCTAACCGCTAAGTAATGATAACATAATTTCTGCCTAAAGGCCAGGTCTGAAACCGGGTATGGATTTTAGAGGTCTAGTCTGAAAACGGGTGTGGAAAATTACATTTTTTTGGTCTGAAATCGGGTCAGGATTTGAGGAACCGGGCGGCACACCCCCACCAAGAATTCCCAGGAGTACCCCCCCGGGATCTTAAAGTTTCGCGGGGATTACTTTGGTTAAGTTTTGCTGGGTATGTGCCGCTGGCCTATCAGAACCCCTACCCCATCATAGTCCATTCTGTGGCCAAATATAGACCCCATCGTAGTCACTTTTGGGAATATGTAATTTTCGCCATCCCAACTTAGGGACGGACCATTAGAAAACTTATGGGGGGGGGGGAGGGTGGGCGAAGTACAAAAAAATATTCGCGCAAGGGAAAATTAAATGAAAAAAATTCATGCACGCCAATTAACCGTAAAAAATATTCATGCTATGGCCTAAAAAAATTCATACAAGGAATTTGATAACGAAAAAAAATTCCTGCGGCTCGAAAATTCCCCACCCCCACAATAACTTTTCTAATGGTCCGTCCCTTAGTAACTTTCTTTTTATGCATCAACCTTATAAAGTCTTTTAACTACAGTAGGCCATTCCTGAAATGAATTGACACATTGGTTAAACTTAGTGAAGGAAAAATCTTCTCATTTATAAACCCCTACCTACATGAATGTTCTGATCCCCCAAATCCTGAAAATGTGCGACCCCATTCTAGTGACTCTAATGAAAACGCAGCCCCACTATAGTAAATCCAGACGTGAAAATGCCACCCCATCCAGCGGCACATAACCAGCCTGTTACTGTGAGTAGCCAACCAACTTAATTGTTTTGAAAATCTTATAACCCTAGAATGTGACGCTTGTAACGAAACATTCAGTGCAGACAGTGGTGTCTTCCACTCTCGAAATTTCCCTCACAAGTACCCGGATGGAGTGTACTGCTCCTGGAGGATCACGGTCAACCGATCTCAGCACGTGTTTTTAATGTTCACGGATTTCAAACTACAGGCTGAAAACAACACAGATGTCATTCGTGTGTACGATGGAGAGAATACCACAGGGGAGGAGTTGGGAGTGTTTTACGGAGGACACCCACCCCCTCAGGATGGACTCTATTCATCAGCAAACCAAATGTTTGTGGTTTTTAAAACAGACAACAACAAATCTTTCTCCGGTTTCCGAGCTTCCTATCACGCCTTAACGTGTTCCGGTAAGGATCTTTCTGAACAACTGGCCTTCTTCTAGGCCAGTTTCCAATTCACAAATTTTCAAAGGCAATAGGCTAATTCCGAGGTCCAGAAACCCTCATTTTTAAAATGAGGTCATGTGCACAGCCTTTCTTGTGAAAATAAGTTTCATTTGCATGCGAATGAAAAATAATTTCCATATCAAAGGCTGAGCACTTAACCTCGTTTTGATACAGAGGCCCAGTGAACTCGGAAATGGCCTATTCGTCGTTGCATCGTCATCAACCTCGAGACGGGCAGGGGCGGGGGGCAATCTTTTTGCGTGACTTCGCTCGGTAACTTCAAGCCTTGTCGAAGACTGGCGAATGAAGGCTTTTTTTAATTTTCACTTTTAAAACGTTGTAGTTTATACGCCACTTATTAACCTCGTCCGTTCGGTCATCACAGGGAAATCTCAGACCGAGAGAATTTGAGATTTACCTGCAATGACCGAACGGAGGACGTTTATAAGTTATTTAGTATATTATAGTTATATTATTTTTCTTTAATTGATACAATCAGAACATAAGAAGGTTGAGTATGACAGCAAAACACAGTAATATGTACCTCCATTTAGCTGCCACCCTCGGGATACCGGCCGGCTAATGACCGCTCAATAGAGGTTCATCAATATAGCATAATCAAAGCAGAAAAAAAGGGGAAAGGGAAAGAAAATTTGGGAGAGAAGGAGAGGATCTCTCCCTTATCGCTTTCGTGCTTTCTCTTTTTCTCCCGCTCCTCTCCTCCTGTCGTGCGGTAAGAATGGTTGGTGCTAATGGAGGTTAGTACCCCTAACCCTTCCCCCCTAAAAAAACTTGTAAGTGTGTCACATGATCTCACCAATTGCGTGAAGATGGAATTTTACTGGATGTAGCTGACCCTAGTATTGCCTTCTCAACGTAAATGAAAGATTCTTTGAGTAGTTGAGTTAAAGTTGACTTAATTCCAACACTGGGAAAAAAGCGCTTAATCAACTTAAACTAATAGCGATCTAACTCTGTCGGAAAGATGCCACTGTTGTTCAAAGAGCTTTCTATTATGGCCCTTGCCATAAGGTTCGTTAAGGTCTTGTCCAAGAGGGCTAAGAAATACGACATCCTCTACCTCTTGACTTTTTTCTATTATTTGTTTCCTTGTTTGACATATTTTTTGCTTGAAATATATAGATCCTCTTGGAATGGAAAGCGGGGCCATTTCTGATGCTCAAATAAGTGCATCTTCACATTATACCAAGAACTTGCGACGTGACTATTCTGCAAAAAAGGCAAGGCTAAATTCGAGACAGTGGAGGAATAGAGGATGCTGGGCAGCGGCTACAAATGATCTTCACCAGTGGCTTCAAGTGGACCTTGGTGGTTACACCAAAGTAACACGTGTTGCGACTCAGGGAAGTGGATACGGACTCTCAGAATGGATGACAAAGTTTAAGATCCGGTATAGCACTGACGGAGTCATATGGCAATTTAACAAAGAACCTGGTAATGCGAATGCTTCAGCAAAGGTGCGCTGGACTTGCTAAATATGGAGCTTAAGCAACCACGACGACAACGGCAAAGAGAACTGCAAAAAAGCAATAGCTCCGGTTTGATTAGTAAAACAATAACCTTGCATGTGCATCACGCTTTTTTTTTGTACATTTTTTTGCCGTTCTTGCAAGGTGAAAGTGCTTAAATTCATGTTTTGTCGAGGACGGAAACACAAGACAACAACTTTCTTTTTCTTTCCTGAACTTTGACACAGTCCTTTAGACAATAGTGAGTTTACGCAACAGGACGGCAGGAAGAAGAAGACGGCAGAACGCTTGTGTGTGACAAACGTGACAAGGCTATTTCTTACGTGTTTTGTCGTGATCTTCACTTAACATCAATGTTTTCTGGTCTTTTACAAAAAGATCTGTTTAAAGGAAGGTGAATTTAGGCGAAAAGTTCCTTTATTGACGATCAACAAGGTTTTTGTCCTGTTGCGTAAGTTCACTATTAAAGTTTTAAGCAGGACGAATTCACTTTTTAAGTGACGTTTTCGTAGCCGTCGCCGTCGTTGTTGCTAAAGCTCCTTAATGAATCCCTAATGCCAGTCCCCTCCCCTCCCCCCTACTGTGGCAAAATCTGCCTTAGGCATATCCTCAGTGTTGTATGGAACGCTTAGTGATTTAATATGAAAGAAGGTGAGGCAAATACTGAATTCAACATTAAGGTTTCCAAACATAGCTTCCTTAATGGAGGGTCTCAATGGGGTTTACGGTCAGCCGTCAAATGGCCTAAAAATTAACCGTCTACAGTCAGGAAAGGTTATTTTTTACCGTCAACGGTCAAAAATGCAGGTTAAGATTAACCGTCACAAAGTTGTAAAGAATGTCAATTCTCACTATTTCAGCTGCTGTTCACGGCATTCCGGGAGAGTCGTGAGTCCGGACCCCCCTATCAGACATAAGCTTGTTTGAGAAATTCTTACATCGACAGGATCGTATATCACTTTTTAACTGGCTGATTTTTTTAATGAAACGCGGGTTGCATTTTGCCTCTAAACTAAATTCCAGGGATATTCAAAATGTGATTGTTTTTGAGTACCCTCCTATGAACTGTTCGCCTCTGCTCGCAAAGCAGTCTCTCCCGCGCCAACGGCGACCGGCGTTCACAGATTGAGAAACATGTGGCGTTCTTTGTGAGAAGTAATTTGAGACAAAAACGTTCAACAGTACTTTCTGAACCAAAGTTTGGACCCCCCCAGTCAAAAATTCCGGGATCCGCCCCTGGGTAACACAATAACTGGTAGATCTCTTTGTGGCATACAAGGTTAAGAATAGCAACTGACCGGAGACAAACCAGTTGGCTATTTACAAGGGTGACCGAGGATTTGAACTCGAAACTACCGAAAACAAGTCCAGCTAGCGGCCAGGGCGGGCATTGAACACAGGGCCCCCGGTTTACAATTCCAGTGCTTTTAACTGCGGATCATTTTACGTTTCTGTGAAACTGCCCACCTACCCCTCCCCTAAACCGAGATTAACACTTAGTTCTTACCTAAGGCAAAATGTTGGCTTAGGGGAGGGGTAGGTGGGCAGTTTCCCAGAAACGTAAAATGATCCTAACTGCTAAGCCGCCCTGCCTCTAGTCTGCTACACAGCCCTTTTTTAGTGCCGTCACGCAACGCTCCTCCCCAATGTGCTGACTACCCTGCCTCAAAGGACTGCTGAGTATTGTCATAAATAAATGATTGTTTTTCCAGGTGTTTACTGGGAATTCTGGTGGTCCCAATAGAATTAAGTATAACCGACTGAATGAATCCATCTTAGCACGATACATTCGAATTGTGCCTGTGGCATGGTTTAACCACATAACGATGAGACTGGAAATCTACGGTTGCCAAGGTACTCTTTTATTTATTATATCCATTTTAAAATCACTGGTGATCCCTGCAATCTGATTGGCTCTCAGTAGAGAATACGTCGTTTACTCACGACTCACACAATTTTTTGTGCTTTCAATTATATTCTGAATCACATCATTCATGTTGTAAATCGCATCATTTCTGTTTTAACTTACACCATTTTGGCTCTATACCGCATCATTTCTTTTTCGAATACAAAATTAGATGTACATGTAAAAGCAGTTTTGTTTCCACTTTATAAAGTAAGGGCGGACCAAGAAAAGGGACACGACCTTCAACCAACTTCCACCAAGAAAGAGGGGACGAATTGGCGTAAGCAAATAAAATACCAGTTAAGAAAGGGGGCCCTCGGCTAACTCCCCTAAATGCTCTCATGTTCATGTGTTATTCGTTGTGTTTGGTACGATGGACATCTAGCTACTAATCCGGGGATAGCGTTGTAATATTAATTGCTGGCTTCGCACTAGAGCCTCCAAGTGTAATGTAAGTGTACTTGGAACCTACTTTGAGTGTGAAGGGGTGAAATGTACCCACTTCAACTTTACTTGGTGACCATGGAAACGTTCGTAGATCAAACAAGCCGAAGTTCGCCGCCAAGTATGGTCTACTACACACTTGAGAACACACTTGACCAATAAGAATTGGAAGCCATGTGCACGTGCAGTGCTAGTGGTTCCAAGGTTCTAATGAACAGAGAGATTGACAGCTTTTACTTCATGTAATAGACTTTGTCAGCAAGTGTGAAGCCATGTTTTCTACAGAGCCACTTAAAGGGACAGGTTCACGGTTCAGCGCAAGCTCATTAATTAAATTACGTTTTTCCAATCTATTATTAATTCTATCGGTTAATAATCCCACTCACATGTGTCTCAGCGATCTCAGAGTGTATTTCAAAGTAGAAGTGTATTTCAGAGTAAGGTGAAGTAGAATGGAGGAGTACTAAAATCGCAGAAAAATTAGTGGATTATGCCAACACTACCAACGTTGAATTTATTGTTGACCCGAGGGTTTTATTCCATGGTTGATTAATTTACAGCTATTTCCACCTAAGTTGATCAAGTGACTGCCAGGGGAGTGTCCAGATTGGTTCTTTGACAACATTACGACATGATCATACTGCTTTCATAGGCAATACAGCATGTCCCGGCAGAAAAATAGCATTTTGATTAATGAGCATGCGCTGAACCGTGAACCTGTCCCTTTAAGATTTCCAAGTGCACTTGAATCAAGTGCGTCCTTGAAACTAACTTCGCTTCTAGTGTCAAGCCAACAAATATGATCAACTTATCAAAGTATTATACAAGCATACTAACATAGGCTCCTTTGAAATCACTGGTGATCCCTGTAATCTGATTGGCTCTCAGCAGTGTAATTTACTGACGAATCACACCATGTTTTGCTCTCAATCATATTCTAAATCGCATCATTTCTGTTCTAACTTGCACCATCTTTGCTCAGTACCGCACCATTTCTGTTTCGAATACAAAAATGGAATAGGATGTAAAAACCTTTTTGTTACCACTACCTTCAACACGGAAAAGTCAAAAAATTGCCGAAACCAAAATAAGATACCAGTTAAGAAAAGGGACCCTGGGCTCCCCTAAATCCTCTCATATTACGTATCATTTAGATGTCTGTGTTATTCGTTATGTTTGGTACAGGGATAGCGCTGTAATAATATGATCAACTAATAAACCAAGGTATTATACAAGCATACCAAAATACGGTTAAAAACGTTAAAGTAGTTAAATTCCAGTAGGGGTCAAACATTTGTCAATAAACATATTTAATATTATTTAATCAGTTTATGTATTTAATCAGTAACAGTTGTTGTTGAAAAAGAGACGTCCTTTTCATTTCCAGACTCAGATGTAGGAAATACAATTTCATTTTTTATACTACTACCTGAGAAAATTCTACAATTTGATTGGCATAGAGCAGTGGTATTTCACCTTAATTTGAAATACCTACATGTGATAATTACAAAACGTTTGCGGGTAATAGTATGAACAAATGATAGCATAATTTGTAGGTGATATGTGGCGTAAATACCACCCGTGATACTTCAAAATTGTCTCAAATTTGACTCGCCTAACGGCTCGTGAAATTACGTATAACAATTTCGAAATATCACTCGTGGTATTTATGCCAAATATCACTACTAATCATGCTATTACCTGTACTAATTTTTATATTAGAAGCAAATTTAACCCTTCAAGTCCCGAGTGTGACCAACATCAATTTTCACCTAACAATATCGATACATAATCAAAGGGAAAATGCTTCAATCTTTAAACAAATTCTCACAACTAATTTTTCAAGTAAATGTATGGAGATCGTTCTGGGAGAACTCGTATGTGGACATTAGATTTAAAGGGTAAAGTTGTTTTGGTCTGAGACAAGAAATGGATTCCGAGACCCTAGCGAAACTTTCCACCCAAATGTTCTTACGTAAACCGTCCATAGAAAGGCTGCCCAAGAAATGGTCCAGAATGGGCAAAAGGAGCGACCATCGAATGTTTTATGATTTTATAGTCCTTGGAACACAACAACTGTATTTTTCAAAGCTGAAAATCTATGACCTTTTTTTATTATTAAAAACAGGTTGCGTTGAAGCTCTTGGCATGGAAAGCGGAGCAATCACAGATGCCCAGCTTTCCGCCTCTTCAGAATGGGGTGGCAGATACCTACACGCTCCAAGGCAAGGGAGGTTAAATTTCCAGTCAGATCCCGGCAAGAAAGGGTGCTTGGTGCCCTCGTAAAATGACCCAGATCCCTGGCTTCAAGTTGATTTTAGAGTTACACAACGGTGACTCGCATCGCAACACAAGGAGAAATGGATGGGGAATTGGTGGGTGACCAAGTTCCGAATACTGTACAGTGATAATGGAATGTCCTTTCAGTACTACAAACAGCCATCGGACAACTCAGCCAAGGTAAACGTTCATGCAGTGGGCGTAGCGAGCTTTTCGACTTTTTGGCTGACTTTCATTTCCACATATCCTGAGGAAAAATTTGGCTCTGACGTGGCTTAAACAACACTTGAAATAAACTAGAAATGTCACCGCCACACAATTTCGGTAGGAATAAGATCGCAGC